GGGGGGGGGGGGAAGGAAAAAAACCTTCCTTGTCTGAGGGTGTGAATTGCTGCTGTACCTTTTTTATTTCTTCCTTTTTAACTCCAGGTCAAAGAGACGGTATTCTCCAGGTAAAAGCAGGATCTTAGGGCCTACATTTCCATTGCAATGACAGCATGACTTTAACCCTGCGTCCAGAGCTTCAGAGAAGAAAGTGTCTGTTCAGCCTCTCTCCTTGAACCAGTGCTGGAGCAGGATATAATATCTGAATAATTTACAAAGGCTCTTCATTAAACAGATTTATTTTTGGCAGCTTTGTTAGACTGCTCCTTTTAGGAACGAATAGGAAGTTGGTCTGGTCTCATTAGGACATCCCTGTACGAACCCTTCCTGCTGGGGCGGGGGACTGGGACAGCCCATTGCTCCATTAGCAATGCTAAATATAAACTCCCAGTCCCAGGGTAACCAGGCTCCAGCACCAGTGGCCAGGGGACCTGGCGAGCGAGGACGTCCCCAGGCACGCATGTCACGGCGAGCAGGAGCGAGGGCAGGATCTTCCCTCCAGCCTCTGCAGGCAGGAGCCCAGCACGGGAGAGGCCCAGTCCCGCACTGGCCCTGAGCTGGAGGCTGCTCCTGCTCTCTGGCCAGGCAAGCCACAGGCTTGGGCAAGGGCCGGGCGCAGTGAAAGGCGAAGCTCAGTGTGGCCACAGCGTGGCTCAGCCTGGAGGCGCAGGGCTGGGGCAGACACAAGGCCAGCAGCCACACTGCGAGGTCGCCACGCGTGCCACAGTGCCTGACAGCCACACTGAGGGCAGGCACGGCTCCTGACCCTGGAAGGCTGATGCCAAGCGGGCTGTCGCAGGAGAGGGCAAGTGACTCCTCCAGCCCCTGTGAGACCCCTTTGCCAGCTTCCCACACCAAATCGCCGTGCAGTGTCAGGCCCTCAACCAGGCTGCCCACGTCAGCAGCCAAGTCCCTGACTGCCCTCTGCAGCCCCTCCAAAGGGTGGTCTGGCTTCCCTAGGGCCGGACATGCTCCCTGGAAACCCACCTGCAAGCTCAGCCCAACCCCAACCCAGCCCTGGCTGCAGAAAGAGCCTGGCATGACCTTGCTCCTGGATGAGGTGTCAGGGGAGAGGCAGGGACCCATCTGCTTCAGGTGCAGCGTTCCACAGCGTAGAACAGCCTCACAGCAGACGAATGTTGGTTCACTCAGAGAGCTCCTACACATGTGCTCAGCGCTCCCTTCCTGCGCTGGAAAAACCCCTCCTTTCCTGAGCCAGGTCTGAGGTGGGCTGTGAGAATCCCCTCCTCTCACCAGGTTGTGATCAAGGCAGGCTCCTCCACACAGTTCTGTCACCATGCCCAGGCCATACTCACCCCCGCTGACACACGCAGGGCCGCTGCTTGGGCAAGGTTATAATTCCCCCTTCTTCAGATGCAGATACATTGCCCGGCTGGAGACAGGCCCGTTAAAGAGTCATTTACTAGGCACAAGCGAGTTTGTGTTCCCCTGGATTGGGATTTGCCAAGATTATACCATAAATTAGCGTGTTTCCTGGAAGAAAGTAAGGAGAGGGGAAAAAAAAGATAAAATGGAACATTTTGTAGCCAACATAAAAGCCAATAAAGGAACATTTCATTTCTCGCTTGGGAGGGAGCGCCTGCGAGCTGTCGCAAAGAGAAGGGACAGCGGCACAGTGTGAGCAGGGCTCCCGTGCTGTCCCCGTGACCAAGGGAAAACTCGAGATCCACCATCGCCCCCCACTGCCGGGGAGCCCGCCCGGGGCAAAGCTGCGGGCAAGGTGGCCGGTGACTGTGCGGCTGCCCAGCTGGTCCCGGCACGTGCCTCGGAGAGGCTCTGCCAGCCCTCGCCGCAGGCCGAGGTCCGAGCTGAGGAGGGTGTGTGCTGCTGAGCCGAGGGAGGCTCCACGCTGCCAGCCCAGGGCCTGGGAAGTGTCTCTGCGTCCTCCTCTGGGAAGTTCAACCTGCTCTTGTAACTGCTGTTGTTGTTGAAAGTCCATCAACCTCAGGGAGAGCCTGGTCCTGTCTTACCACGGACAAATGCCTCACGGCTTTGGCAGCGCCATCATTAGGAATACCTGGCGTGTCGGTTGCTATGTGGCAACTTTCCTGCTTTATCTCAACAGGAAAAAACTTCATTCGAGTTAAAGAAGAAATTATAATATCTAGATGAGGGGTGAGCTGCAGAAGGAGAGCAGAGGTGCTACCTGGCTCAGCAAGCAGACAGATATTCCTGCGTGTCTCTCAAAAGAGCGTACACAGGCACTAAAAGGCAGCTGGCACCGGGTGAAGAACGTGCCTTTGGCCCTGGCTGCCCTCCTCGTCTTACCTGAGGGGACTGGTGAGGCAAGATCACGCTCTGGAGATCTCATGGCACACCCTGTCCTGCTCCGCACCATGACCAGCCCCTGCCATGTCCTGGATGGGGAGACACTAACGGGCAGCAACCGCTCTGCAGGTGCAGCACACCAGGTCACCTCCAGCACCTCCAATGGGGGCCAAGTCTGTAAGATGGGGGAAACAACCTGCCCTGTATTTAGGGGCCATCTCTTACGTGTGTGTACATGTTGCACAGGGCAGTTGACATCGTGGTTTTGGTCTCTAGCTGCTGCAGGAATACACCTAATCTGTTTTTCCAAAGAGCAGCAAACGTGAGCCTCCCGACTCACACACATGCTCAAAGGGGTTTTTCAACTAATAGGAGTAACTTAGAACAACATGGGAGCCCTTCTGCAGACAAAGCAGGAACAGTCTGAACAGCGCAAACCCCACGGGCAGCGCCCGTTAAAGAGGGTCCCAAACTCCGGGTGCTCCCAAGCTCGGGCTGAGCTGGCCCAGACCAGAATGTCCTCAGTGGCCACACACATGGGCTCACAGTGGCCGACTTTGCACCAGCACTCCCACTGCAGAGCGCAGGAGAGAGCCCACAGCCCCCGATTTCCAACACGTGATTCCAAGTACAGCATTTGCATGCTGCACATTTCTTCTGCACAACATAATCATCTCTGTAACAGATACCTAATTCCTATAATGGAGTGGGGACCGTTACCTGTTCTGTGCTGGGGGCAGCCGTGGCAAAGCTCTCAGCCCGGGCACTGTCTGTCTGGATCATCACATAGCTGAGGGCAAAACCCTCGTGCATCCCATTGTCCCTTCCTTCCCCCCACGCAGCAAGGGGACAAGCCTAGCAGGAACGGGCCGTGCGGGGAGGCAGGCCTGGGCTCTGCAGGGAGGGGGACAGCAGGGACCCAGCCCGCACTCCCGCACACACCGATTCCAAACCGCATCCCGCTGCCCTTGTGCAAGGCCCACGCCGGGGCGGCTCAGTTTCTCTACACGTGAAAAGGGGACCAGGATGTCGATGCACTGGGAGGAGACTGTCTACCCTGTTTTCCAACCCTTATTCTGCAGGGACATAAAGCCTGCCTGCACTATTAATAATCCTTGGCATGAAGCTGTCACAGTTTTCACTAATATGGAGATGTCGAAGTGAAAAAGCTACTGCACAATATGCAGGAGGTGTCACAATAACTCAGCTGCTATATTGTTCTCTTCAAAAATAAATACCACAACAGCCCAGCCCGCAGTGCTGGAGTCATGACGTGTGGGGTTTTATTTTTAATCAGAAAATGTACTGATTTTTGAAGATAGACAGAGAGCAGCATCTGCAATTGATGAAAGCTCCCTGGCGCTCACACACACCAGCCCTGCTCCTGCCCCTTGTTCTCGGGCTGGATTCCAGGGACCCGATCCTGCCTCAGCTCTGCTACATCTGTGTCGTGGCTTCCAAGAGGCCCCATGGCAACAAAGTTCTTCCAGCAACAAAGTCTGTGGCTAAATTCTCACCTCTCTGCTCCCTGTGGGGATGCAGCTGGTCCCCCAGGACACAGACCCCTGGGTCTGATCCTCCGGCAGCAGGTTTAGGACCGGAGTTGCATCCAGGGCAGCGTTTTCCGATGTCCAGAGATGGGAAGATTGGCGGGGACCAGCTGCAGGTGGATTCCCTCGCCTTTGCCTCCCCCGGCGAGCTGAAGGAAAACGCCCCCGGGGGTGAACAGCCCTGTTCCCCGGCGGGGGAAAGGGGTGACAACGAGCCCCGTCCGCGGGCGCTGCCTGCGCGGGCCGGATCCTGCCCCGTCGCTGCAGGTTTCAGAACCGGGACGGAGCTGGGCGCCGGCAGAGCCCCCCGGGACACCACGGGACGGGGGGGCCACGCCGGGGGC